CACAACTTCTTGCTTGCTTAAAATACGCTTTTGGGCACATGTGGCTCTGCTCCTTCTCTTTAATCTGTTTTGAGCTCTACCAGGCAAACTGTTTTGTTTATGCTTGCAGAAGCTTGGACAATGGACCAATGGCTTTAACTAGGTAGGGTCACATGGCTTCCTAAGGCCCACAACACCCCATTATCCATGTGTAAGCTCTCCAAGTAAATTAGTCCACATAGCACAGAAGCAAAATACTGCACATACCCTTATTCCACATTATTTTAAAAACAAATCCGAGCTCACCTCTAGACTATCAGGGATTCAAGTGCATATTAGAAATTTAGGCTTGCACAATTAAGGTGGATTAAAGGAAAGCAGAAATGTACTGAAAAATGTGGGGTGAACAAATGATGATTGAGAAAATGTATGAACACTGCAAGCAAATAAGGATGAATGTGTGTTGTTGCATAACCACTCTGCAAATAACTCGGAATGAAGGCTCAGTAAAAACTGACCATAGTCTAACCTCGGTGCATGCTTTGTGTGAGCAAATCAGAATCAATGCTCAATAAAGAAGTCATCTGAAAAAGCCCCTTTGGATACAGATGTTGCCGTTGCTCTCAATTCTACAGAACACTGAAAATGCCTTCAGTGGCTGTGCCTTCATTGCTACTTTATAAAAGTCACCATTCGCAAACAACAATTCAAATATTCATAATACGTGTTTGCATTGCATCTTGACCGAGCAGAGCAATTTTCAACAACTTTAAAATCAGAAGCTGCCCTGGAGAAAATAAGCCAACAAGTGATTTAAAATAAGACACTGGGAAATGGCTGTAACCCTGAAACAGAAATGAACAAAACTCCCATAGTATTCTGCAACATGCTTTTAAAATGTACCAATGTTTTAAACAAAACAAAACATGACACTGTTGACACATAACAAATATGAATAGTAATGCCAAATGCTGGAAGCATACTGACTCGAGTGTCTGCTTATTGACCTGCTGGCAAGACTTAGGTAGGAGCCATTGCCATTGCCTGTACAGTGGTACCTCGGGTTAAGTGCCGTATTTTTCGCTCTATAAGATGCACCAGACCATAAGACACACCTAGTTTGAGGAAAACAAGGAAAAAAATATTCTGAATCTCAGAAGCTAGAACAAGAGGATCGCTGCGCAGCGAAAGCAGCGATCCCTTTTGCTGTTCTGGCTTCTGGGATAGCTGCGCAGCCTGCATTCACTCCATAAGACGCACACACATTTTCCCTTACTTTTTAGGAGGGAAAAAGTGAGTCTTATAGAGCAAAAAATACGGTACTTAATTCGTTCCAGAGGTCCGTACTTAACCTGAAACTGTTCTTAACCTGAAGCACCACTTTAGCTAATGGGGCCTCCTGCTGCTGCTGCGCCGCCGGAGCACGATTTCTGTTCTCATCCTGAAGCAAAGTTCTTAACCTGAAGCACTATTTCTGGGTTAGTGGAGTCTGTAACCTGAAGCATATGTAACCCGAGGTACCACTGTAAAAGAGAGAAAGGGTGAGTTCATGGTGAGTTCCAACACCTCTTTTTCTAGAAAAATAGCACTGACTGTATCCATGTTAATACGAATGCTATATTTCCTTTTTTTAAAAAAGAAGGCTTAAAATATGTTTGTGTGTTACAATGTGACTGTCATAATACAATATGAGTACCCAGCCTCACCTGCAATTTCTTTGCTATAATGTAGACTCAGCCACAACAGAAGAATTACACTTGAAATAATTTTCTTTTAATAGCTTTGTTTGAAACACTACAAGTGTGTCTCTTCATTGCCACTTCTGCTAGCCTTGAAGCAACCAGAGTGAGGCTGTACAAGGAACCTCATGCCGTCATAAATAAACAATGACCAACGGGACCATTACCTTAGATAGCTTAAGTACGTATTTTACATGGTTCACCAGGATGCTCCTTCCGCACTGCCAAAAAGAGACATTTAAAGCCTTAGCGGCATTACAGAGCCATTAATTTACCCACTTGATTTATCATTCCGTGCAAGGCATGTGACCGCCAGGTCAGAGCTAATTACTACACGTAGGGGCGGACGCAGTAACTTGGCTCAATTGCATATCTATTAAAAAGCCACAGAAGGCTTGTGGCAAACAGGATAGCTCTAGTTCAGAACAAGGAAAGGATATTTGTCTAAAGTTGGCAAGCCAGTTCAGTCAATGCTTAAGGTAAAGGTAAAGGACCCCTGACAGTTAAGTCCAGGCCCGAACGACTCTGGGGTTGCGGTGCTCATCTTGCTTTACTGGCTGAGGGAGCCGACGTTTGTCCGCAGACAGTTTTTCCGGGTCATGTGGCCAGCGAAACCAGAGCAGCGCACGGAAATGCCATTTACCTTCCCACCAGAGCAGTACCTATTTATCTACTTGCACTGGCGTGCTTTTGAACTGCTAGGTTGGCAGGAGCAGGGACCGAGCAACGGGAGCTCACCCTGTCGCGGGGATTCTAATCGCCGACCTTCTGATCAGCAAGCCCTAGGCTCTGTGGTTTAGACCACAGCGCCACCCACATCCCTTATCACGGGCTAATTCACACATGCATGCCTGTCGTTTGATGGTTGCAAAAAATGTGTGATGATGACTGACGCACAAACGAAAGGGCCCTCCCCAAAATGCTGCATTAAAACCTTCAAACCGTCTCAATCACAATGCCTTTGAGTGCATTCAGTTCACACATGCTGCTGTCAATCATCGAATGTAAAGGGCTCTAACGACCAAAGTGAAAGAATGTATGATCCAACCAAAGCCTCAAAATATTTATTTGTAAAAACAAAAAAACCCTCTATTTGAAATGATAATGCAGCCAGCCATTTGTGTTATTGTGTGTGTGTTCGATAATGGCACATTAAATACTCAGTATTTAATAGTCAGACAAGGGTTTGCATAATGTGCATAGCGGGTATGGACATTGTTGACTGCATTGGTCTGTGTATATGTTTGTGTGTGTATACTGTATATACTCTCTCTCTCTCTCTCTGTGTGTGTGTGTGTGTGTGTGTGTGGCTATAACTTAAGTTCAGTCAAGTCTAATAAAACACCATTGTGAAAATCAATAATAATTAAAGGACTGCTTACCTGACAGGGTTGATAGATCAAGAGTAAATTTAATGTTCTTTTCATTCCCTTGGACCCCTTCCCTCTGCCAGAGGCTATATATATGGCCTATCAATTCATTTGTGATCAAACTTGGTTTAGGTTGTTTCTTAGCTTTCTATACTAGTGGTAAAAAATACCCTCCCTCTCTAGCTATTGTATAACTCTAGAACATTTTGCCAGCGGTATGTTCATTGGTTTCCTAGATGCTTCCTACTGGCATATTTGTGGCCTACACATGCTACCCAGATGTGCAATCGCTTCACTTGAGCTTGCTCACAGAGATTTCATTTAAGATATATAGGCATTGAAAAATGCCACATTAGTATATTGTATTGTATTGTATTATTATATTATAAAGTCATGAATTGTCAAAATTTTGCACAAATCCATGCACAAATGCTGACAATCAGGTGGATTTCAGGAGTGTCTGAAAAGAGACACATCCCCACCACCAATGGGCACACAACAGTGATCATTGCATTTACCTGATGGTCAGCACCCTCTTCAGATAATCACACAATTTGCTTTCGATTGCAATATTCACAAGTGCATGCTGATAGTCATTGACAATGTAACTCTAACCCTGTTGACTCAGAAGTCCTGCTGAATTAATAGGGGTTTACTCCAAGGTAAGTGGGATTAGGACTGCAGCCTAAATGTTATATGTTCACTGTGGTACAGAGATAGTCATTCATTAGAATAGCCTGCTCTTCCTCCAGGTGTCCAAGAGCAACTAAAATCCTGCAATGCAGGTGAAGCTAAGAGGGACTTGTCTGCAATCATAAAGTGAGCTTTCTGGATAAATGAGGGAGCTAAACTTGGATTTCCTACTCTGAAGTCTGACACCATAGCCATATATCACTGGCTGTCTTGTATTCAATAACCAGAATGCTGTCTCAACACACGATCCTGCCATTAACATCTAATTCAGAAGACAAAGAACCCCATTTTGAAATTATACTGTCTTATATCTAGTAAGAGCAATTGCCAATTAGCTTCTGAGCACAATTCAGGCTACTGGTTTGAATGTCTAAAGCCCTTAAAAGATAAGAAAAAGTCTCTCTCTCTCTCTGCATGTGTGCACAAATATAAACAAGGATCCTCCCTTTAACTAAAAATCAATCACTTTCAATTTCACCTACATAAAGTGAATATGACAATGACAACATCTTCAACACCTCCCACGTCTTAGCCATAAATTAATAGCAGATTCTGGTTTATAGAATTCAGTGATCAGTATCAGAATACTTAGGATTCCCTTTTGCTGTCCTTAATTACTGAGCAAGAAAATCTGGGCACACTTCAGAGAGCGCCTGAAGGCTCCTCCTGCATGTTGCTGGCATCCATCTGTCTCAAGAGACAATGGAGTGCACCTCTGCGGGTGAAGTCAAACTGCTGCGTTCACAAATCTTGGCAGTGTTTATGGAGGTCCTGGGCTGCCCAGACGACAAGACTCACTTCTCCGCCTTGTTGATGTGGTCCAAAGGGAAGCAGAGCAATACGTTTGTTACGAGCTTGGCTGCGGAAGGAGGCTTACAAGGCACCATCCAACCATCTTAGGGTAGGGTTACCAGACGTCCCCGTTTGCCGGGGACAGTTCCCAGATTCGCGAATTAAGTCCCCGGACAAATTCCATCCCTGGAATGTCCCCGGATTTCATCTAATGTCCCTGGGAAACGCAGCAGCGGCAGTCTCAGCAGCCCGGAGCAGTTGGCTCTGGCTGGCTTCAGGAGCTGCTCGGAAGTCCCCATATGATGGTGGTGCAGGGGCTCTAAGATGCAGCTTCCGGTCTGCCTCCACCTTCCCTGACCCAGCAACTAAGCTGTGAAGGGAGGCTTTATGCTGTCCATCGGAGCAGCCTCCCAACTCCTACTTTGGGGCAAGCAGGAGCGGGGTGGAGATCTCTCAGATGTGAAGGGAGGCTTCATGCTGCCTATCAGAGCTTGCATGCAAGCAGGAGGGGGCAGGGCAGTTAGGCAATGGGAAGCCTCCCTTCCCAGCTGAGGGATCTACGCCCGCTCCTGCTTGCATGCAAGTAGGAATGGGATTGGGGCTGCTCCGATTGGAAGGGAGGCATCACGCTGCCTGAGAGATCCCTGCCCCCTCCTGCTTGCACGCAAGTAGAAGTTGGGATGGGGCTGCTCTGAAAGGCAGTGTGAAGCCTCATTTCCCAGCTGAGGGATCTCCTCGCCCTCCTGCTTGCATGCAAGTAGGAATGGGATTGGGGCTGCTCCGATGGGAAGGGAGGCATCGCGCTGCCCGAGCCTTGCTGCCCCCGCCGCTCTCAACCCTCCTTCTCCGCCTTCCATGTCTGACCAACCGCGCACTGCTTCCCCACCACCACCACTGAAGAACCAACAACTCAGGGGCTGCCCAGGCTCATGGAGAAAGGAGATAGAAGCCTCAAAGGAAGGGGAAACGCAGTGGTTAAGGTCAAGGCGGCAGCCTCCCCTCTGCCATCGCCATCGCTGCAGCATCAATGTCCCAAACGTGTTGTAATTAATTAATTAATGTGTCCCTGGATTCATTGAAAGAAATCTGGTAACCTTATCTTAGGGACTCTCTTCTACACGAAGCATGCCTGCAAGTGTGGCAGGACATTCCCATAGGATCTCAAAACCCAGGCAGTTCATATGAGAGAATACGGTCTTTCAGATAGTCTGGACCTAAGCCGTATTGTGTTTGATTGTGCAGCAAACAATTTTATTAGGAAAACATATGCACCACGCTTCAGACAGCAGTCCCTCGGAGCATCTTAACATGCACTTTAAAACGAGGAAGTGACAACAAAACAGTAGCCAGTCGCAAAAAACAGGAGCAGCAGAAAGCAATAAAAAACCAGATTTAAATAACGCTGGAAACACCCTGGACTAAAAACTAAAGAGTCTGTGTATATAAAATATCTTTAACCCGTGCCAAAAAGGCATGGGCTAAGTGCCAGGCCCGCCTTCTTGGCTCCTGCATCTCCAAATGAAAAGGCCCAATCGCAGATGTCACTTCCACACATGCGAAAGAGGGTCTCCATGGAAGGTTTTGCCAGCCAGCCTTGTGAGAGGAAGCAGGCCTCAAGGACCTTGCTTCGAATCCATTCAAAGCTTCAAAAGCAGGGTTGGGGAACCTGTTCCATCCTGAGGGCCAGAAGCAAAAGCAGGTGGAACAAAGAATGCTAATTTTACCTTTGTACAGCAGCCTTCTTTCTTTCTCCACACCCCCCTCTTCATCCAGGCAGGCAAGAAGCATTATCAGAGCTCAAGGGCCCCTTCCAGCCAGGCAAATAACTCTCAAATTGGGTACAAAGGGAGGCCAATGAGGGTGTACCCTGGGGAGAAGGAGTGTGGGCTGGGCCTAGAGAGGGAAGGAGGGGTCTCCCTGGGCCTGAGATCGTGCATCCTTGATTGAAACCAGCATCTTGTATTGAGCCCAGTAGCAGATCAGGCACCAGGCAGTGAAGTTTGCTTAAGGCTGGCAAGATGTGGTCCACAGACCCAATCGTAGTTCACAGTCCATGTTCTGTACTTCATACTAGCTACACCAGGGGTAGGCAATCTGAGGCCTGTGGGCCGGATGCGGCCCAATCGCCTTCTCAATCCGGCCCGTGGACGGTCCAGGAATCAGCATGTTTTTACATGTGTAGAATGTGTCCTTTTATTTAAAATGCACCTCTGGGTTATTTGTGGGCATGGGAATTCGTTCATTCCCCCCCCCAAAAAAAATATAGTCTGGCCCACCACATGGTCTGAGGGATGGCGGACCGGCCCATGGCTGAAAAAGGTTGCTGACCCCTGAGCTACACTTTCAGAGCAGTTATAAAGGGCAGCCCCAGCACCAGAAATCCAAATGCAGTATCACCAGAGCATGACTTACGGTGGCCAGGCTATCTTGGTCAAGGAAAGGCAAAAAAAATTTTGGGTGCTACTGAGGTCAAGAACAGCGCTGCAACCCCAGATTGTGAATCTGATCCTTCAGGGCACAGGATTCAAAAGTGCAATTCCTGCTCAGATTGCGCCCACCCAGTCAACGCCTTATCATTAAAATGTTAGAAGCCGTGCTGGTTTCCTAAAGTAGGGGAACGACAGAAAGAAATGAGAAAAATTAATGCTGTTACCGCCTCCGTTGATGCAGATGAACGTGAGCGGTAACGGGGTGACATTTTGCTGTTGAAGAGACAAAGCCCAGCTCTTTCAGTTATTATTTGAGCACATCTGGCAACATGTTTTGAAGTGTTCAAGCAAATTTCGGCAGATGCTTGAGAAAAGCCATGGATAACTTTGTCTTCCTGTCCAGTGGAAACACGCTTTGGTGTTGGATGCATCAGGTCTGCTCTGTGTGTTCTCTTATTTTGCTATTTTATCCCTTTTCTAGAGAGGGAAGTGGAAATATGGGTTATGGTTGCTTTTGATGGAAACCAGAACACTTTTCCCCCTTACGAAAGCATGCTGCTGGGATGTGGCCTCTATAATAAAAGGATAATGTTTCACCGAAACAGGGGTTGGATGGTTTCATGCTGTCTGTGTGCTCCTCCTGTCTCTCATGGATTCTCACTCCCCCAGCATGGTCCAAGATACACATAAAGACAAATTCACAACTTAACTTTTGTTCTGTTTTAGTGTGAAGATGCAGGGATCGGTCCATTGAAAGTGTTCATTAGGCAGCAATTAATGCTTTCTCAATCTGGACTAATGCACTGAAATATTCATGTGGTAGATTGTTTTTTACTGCAATACCAAGAGCCCTATTGCTGCAATCCCGCTATAAAGATTAATAAGGGGGAAAGCTGCAATTACAGAAAAAAATGTGCATTTTTATGTTCAAACAGATAGCTATAGATAGATGGGTACCTAATATGGTGCCATCAAGATGTTATGGACTACAGCCTTGATAGACAATTCATAACAATAGCCAATACAGTGGTACCTTGGTACTCAAACAACTTGGAACCTAAACACTGCAAACCCAGAAGTGTTCCAGTTTGCGAACATTTTTTGAAAGCTACACGTGTTCCGTTTTGAGTGCCACACTTCCATTTTGAGTGTTACGCTTCCGATTTGAGTGCCACAGTTCTGTTTTGATTGTTACGCTGACTGTGTAAAACCCAGTTCAGCTACTGATTGTGTGACTGCTGTACATTGTTTATTGCTTTCATTTTACGGATCAATGGTCTCAGATAGTAAAATTCATGTTAATTTGCTGTTTTAGGGGTTGTTTTTAAAAGTCTGGAACAGATTAATCCATTTTGCATTACTTTCTTCGGGAAAGTGCGACTTGGTTTTGGAATGCTTTTGTTTTGGAACAGACTTCTGGAACGGATTAAGTTTGATAACCAAGGTACCACTGTACATGTACAAACATAGCAAGGGGATGGAGGAAGATGATTTTCATAAGAAAAGGGCATAGGTGAAAAGGGATATGCTTCTCCTACTGGTGCAGCATTTAAACTGCTAGCACATTTGCAAAGCTAAGAAGGGTCTGCTATGGTTTCAAATTGGATGGGAGCCCACATGTTGAGATTCCTGAATTGCAGGGGGTTGGACTAAGTGACCCTCAGGGTCTCTTCCAACTCTATGATTCTAGACTTATTGTCCCAATTCAAATTGCTGCTTGCCCCACCATGGTTACTAAAATCTGAAGAGATGAGTGAGTCCCTTGTCCAATCCAGTTAAGTCTTGAGAACAGAACTAGTGATAGAGGGCCAAGGATGTATCCTCCACCTTCAAAAGTTTTTGGCCACATCTTTAGCAAGATGCCACCCCTTTCCCTGCAAGTAGGGAGGTCAGAGAATTATGATGAAAATGGAAACAGGGGCAGAAATTTCCAGTGTTTTCTTATCCATTCAATGTCTGGAAGGGAAATCCAACATGTGAATATGATTGGCGTTCTCTGTTGTTGTTGCTTTCAGCTTGCAAACCATGCATAAGTGATTATTCCCCCCAACTCCATTTGCATTGCCTTCCTCGAGTTGGGTGGGATAATGTAATTAATAATGTAAGTTGGGCAAGTTTGCCTTAGCAGACAGTGACGTCAATAATGTCTTTTTTTTTTTTTTTTGCAGAAGACACACTGTAGAGGAATGGAAACGATGCTGCGTACAACCAGTACAGGACAGAACAGAAAACAGTGGCTCCTTATGCCACCTGTGAGTTCCTGTTTTGCCCTTGCGTAAGTAAGTGAAAGGCTAGTTGGTAATTCTCCATGGGTCAACCTTGGCCCAGAGGCATGCAGTTGCAAACTTCTCCTCTAGAAGCTCTGATCTGTGGAGATTTGATCCCCAGGTACCTTCAGGGTGATGAGGAAGATGGGACCAACAACAGGATTCAGCCCACAGAAACCCTCATTTTCAGTACTGAGGGACCTGACACAATTTTTGCACTGACTCCTAGTAACTTGATCTGCAGTGTGACAGCAGTACATCTGCAACTTTTCTCTAAAAAAAATAAATCCTTTATGATGTTGTTGGGTTTTTTTTAAAAAAGTGTAAATTGTAATGTAGTTTCCCCTAAAGGTCTGCAACTTATGGTTTTGATTGAAGTGAAGAAAATGATTTACTCTCAACATTTGATTTGTATTATATATGTCAATGCCCCCTAGGTGGGAAGGAGTGGGCACTCAGGGCTTGCTAATAGATTCCAGAACCTTTTTCTTGACAGTCACCAGTTCAAATTAAACCTGAGCTGTTGCTCTTGGGACTACTTCAGCTGCTGCATTTTTCTCTTACGTTCTTTGTGTAGAAAACAACCACTGGCTTGTATGAAATACAGTTTCTTTGCGAAGAAACACGTGCCACATTTCTTATTTGTTAACTTTAAGCACTTTAGGTCCTTTCAAGGCAGCAGACGACAGCAAATTGTTGGTATTTATATTTCCAACCCACGCTTCAGTGGGAAGGTTCACAAACAATTCATTAAAATGCAACATATCCCATAAAAACCTGATGAACATCATAAACCTAAAACAACAAATCAAGAAGGAACAAGCAACCATCTCCATAAGCTGGAAAGGCAAACTAGGTCTTAACTTGATATCTGAAACCAA